TATCGCGTCGCCGTGTCCACTGCTGGGTGGACAGAGGCACGGGGCAGGGGCGACTTGACAAACTTGCACCATTGTCTCAAATTCCCTGCCGGTGAGATGGGATTGAACCGGCGACCTCTGGATTTTGTGAAAGTTCAGCGGCGATAACTATTGCACCACTGTGGGTAGCATGGTAATAATGGGGCGCGACGGTGGTGAGATGTTAACTACCTCGCCTGGAATACAGGATGGTCGTGGGTTCGATCCCGACCACGACGCCTGCTGCTGTATATTTGGAGTTTGCATGTCTTTTTCTCCCCGTGGTCGCGTGTTATTTTTCTCTGGATTCTTCGGTTTCGACCTTCACATTTGGAAACATGCGTTTGTAGTATTTGGCTGCAAAAGATTTCTACGCGATAAGCCACTTCGTTGAGCTGTCATTTGTGGCCAGGTCGCTTCTGAAAAAGAGCTATGTAGCTCAGTGGGCCTTACCTGAAAAAATAAAAAAAATAGTTTTAAATAGTGTTAACAGGGTAATATCAGTGGTATACAGACAATTGACTCAGATATTTAATTCACTGATAGCGTCCTTAAAATGTGCACAGGAAGTTACGTTTAAAATGCCAGGAGGGACTAACGACGTGGTGAATTCTATTAAAACAAAAACAAACATAGAGCTGTGGGAGGAGGCTGAGACGACAGCAGATGCCGCTTTTGGAGAGATGAATGGAGACTGGAGGGAGGTGTGTGTGTCTTGTTCAGGGTGAGAGGGTTGTGGGGGCGAGCGTTGTTTTGCAAGCGTCTGAAGGGGGGAAAAGAGAGCCAGGCAGAGGAACGCAGAACGGGCGTCATTCAGTCTTCATCAGAGGCCGCCAGATGGCCCGATCAGAAGGCAAGGACACTTCATGCACTATTCATGAGATCTCGCCGAAGGACCGCCCGTCCCGTCTCAAAAACAACAGGACAGATTCAGTCAAGGCCATCCCAGACAATTGGTCTGTCACGCTGCGAGACAGCAGGGGTTCCGCTGGTACCGTGGGCGAACGATGCGAGTACACGCCACCTCTGCAAGGGGTGCCACCTGTGCTCACACATGGACTGCAGTTACTTGAAACAGCAATCGTGATGTGACGGTTCCACCTGAAGACGGAAGCTTGTGTTGCCTCCGAAACGTCGTGATTTTTTATTTTACTTTTATTAATTTTAATTTAATTAAATTTTTTACCTACGTGACTTTACCGAAAAAACCTAAGAGTATGAATCCTTGCAGTCACGAAAGCTTCAAATCTAGAATTAATGGGCTGCAGTAGTAGAGGTTGGAAATTGTCACGCTTTTTGGGGGTAGGTTATTCATTTGGAGCAAGGGATTTTTACGTTTACCATACTTCACCAGGCCGGACTGCTATTAATCTCCCTATCGAGCACAGCTACTCAGGTCGAGAAGGCACACAGCGCTTCTTTGCCGCAGCAAAGGCAGTGCTCCGTTGAAGAAGTGTGATAGCTACACTTTTAAGTGATGTCTTTTACCCAGAATCACTGTGTACCGATTCTTCCTCTTTCATCTGCACTAGACACCACTCGTCCGGTTACCCATGCATCAATGCATCATGTTAGTTCTGCTTAACCGAGAATAAGTTTGAGCCTTTCATCCGTGCTCATTTGCAGATGAGTCATCCAAAAGTGGTCTCTTTGGATCGCTAGATTCCTATTGTTCAACATTACATTTTTTGTTTGTTTACGCATTCGATTTGAGAATGTCGGGTGGAGCGGTGGCGCAGTAGTTAGCGCTCTGCACCATGAACCGAACGACCTAAGTTCGATTCTCAGCCATGGCGAGTGATATGTGACCCCGTTCTGGGCTCCCACTTCACCAACCCGCACTGACCAGTACGGCGAAGTATGTTCAAATAAACTCCATAACGAAAGGGGTGGGTAGGATTTCATCCAGCAGTGGACACATAACGTGCTGTACATATGACACTACTATTGCCTTCTATTTGGGACTGCGTCTCTTCTGACGAGCCTTCAGTGCGTGTCTGTCTCGTCTTGAATAGAACATGTAACCTACAATTTACTTGATGCTTCCCGATGTGGCTTTTTAAACAATGCTGAAAGTGCCTTAAATGACCCCACCTCTGTCTACCAGCAGTACCGCATACACGGGCACAATCATAGTCCATCGGCAGGCCCGCGTGTGGTGGGGGTGAAGTGTGGGTAACTCCCACGTGTTCCAGCGTGGAAGAGCTCGATTCGTTGCTCCGGAGGAGGTCCTGCACCTTTTCCAAACTGCTACGCGAGCAAGCACTTGCAGGGGCTGTGCCTTCATCTCCTTACGTCGGGGGAACATGAAGGTGAGCAGTGTGTGTGTTGCTGGTTCGGAGTCACACTGAGCTGTATAGTAGACAAAGTGTCACGTAGCGACGACAAACAGCTATTATACCCTATTCTACGGGTTCGAGGCCGTCCATAAATGACGTCACGTACCTGGGGGGGGGGGGGGTCAGACATTTGTGACGATGTGTGACGAGGGGGGGGGGTTTGAGAAATGTGACGTCACATCAAAATGCGCAACTTTAAATAAATATAGACAACACGTTCTACTTAATTAAATATACTTTTGATAAATGTTTTCTCCTACAACATCAGAGTGCAGCGCCACATTAAATACGCACTACAATGACAATAGTTTAAAGCGATTTGAAGCATGTTTTTTTTTGGGGGGGGGTGCAGAGCTTTGTGACGTCATATTTGAGGGGGGGGGGGGTCTGACTTTTTGTGGCGCCGTGTGACGAAGGGAGGGGGGGTCAAAAATCGTCATTAATGGACGGCCCCTTACGAAGCAGAATTTTCACCCGGTATTTTTAAACCAAAAGTTTGGGGTTAACCTTCTTAGAATCCGGTAGGTGCTCGTGTGACTACATTTGTACAACTTTATTGACACGTGTTTGGGGAGTGGGGGGATGGGTGCATCTTAGTCCGACTCACGACCATCACCGATGTGAGCATCACCACGGGAGGCGCTCTCTTCATCACATCGAGAACAATGGCACTCACCAACTCACAACTCTACATCTGTTCTCCTATCTCCTGAACTTAATTTTTGTAAGATATGTGTTTTACTAGGGAAGGCCTATTGAGCTATATAGCTCAAACGATCTGGCTATCACAAATGATAGCTCAACGAAGTGGCTTATATTTCGATTTAAAGCTTTCGTGACTGCAGGGATTCATCTTCTTGGTTCTTTCGGTAATGTCACGTAGAAGGGAAATAATAAAATAATAAAAATAAACCGATAAAATACAATTCTCACGACGTTTCGGCCACAACGCAAGCAGCCGTCCTCAGGTGAAGAACAGACCTGTGATAATAATTTTATAATGTTTTATTTTAATTATTTTATTATGTTTTATTTTAATTATTTTATTATTTCCCTTCTACGTGACTTTACCGAAAGAACCAAGAAGAAGTGGCTTATTACGTGGAAATGTATAGCAGTCAAATATAATCTAAACGCTTGTTTCTAAATGTGGAAAACCAGAGGACCAGGAGAAAAATCCACGCAAGCACGGCGAGAAGATGCTATCTCCTACTAGCACCACCTTAATATATCAGCAGCATGCCAGCATCCACTCATCGTTACCTCTGCTATCATATACACCGTCACTTACACGTTCATAACATAACCCTGACTTCACACCGGCATCAATTCCCTGAACAGCGTTCACGCTTTCATCAATGATTTCACGCCGTTATCGTCGTCAATCACATTCACACCGTTTGCGTGAGTCCCAGACCAATTCTAGATTTGAAGCTTTCGTGACTGCAAGGATTCATATTCTTAGGTTTTTTCGGTAAAGTCACGTAAAGTAAAAAAATTAAAATTAAACGTCGTGAATTTTATTTTACTTTAATTAATTTTAAAATTTTACCTATGTGACTTTACCGAAAAAAACCTAAGAATATAAGCCCCAGACCAGATGCAACTTCTCTGACACGCACAATCGCTCTCAATCACCACGTCTCACGCGCTCTTTAATGATCTCCAAACGCTTCCCGAATTGTGGCGAGTTATACTCGCTTGGGGAGTTCACCACTTCACCACCACCAAAACCACCACCGTTAGTGGGGTTGTGGATTACCCCATGGGGGGGGGGGGGGGGTTCGAATCATTAAAAAATTTGCGCACTCCACGGCCCACCACCCTTCACCCTCCCAATGTGAATGTATAACATCCTGGTGAGATAACAGAAGGAGACATCAACAATAAATACAAAATATGAATAGTCTCTATGTTAACGAATGCAGCTCATGTTAATCAACACGGGTTTATTTTTCACTCCGCACACTTATTTGATATTTATATTCTTAGGTTTTTTCGGTAAAGTCACGTAGGTAAAAACATTAAAATTAATAAAAGTAAAATAAATAAAAATCACGACGTTTCGGAGGCAACACAAGCTTCCGTCTTCAGGTGGAACTGTCACAGCCACGACAGCTGTATCAAGTAAATGAGAGATTGCAGGAGCTACCACTTCGTATATATAATGGTTGGAGAGGGGGGAAGGGCCAAGTACAGCACACTTTTTATTCATATGGTAAGGTGAGGCTTAAGAGGGTGAGCCTTTGTTATGGTTTGTGACAACTAAACATGGTAAACATGGTACACCTGTAATAGTTGTCTGTCAAATAATAAATAAGATTGGTCAAATAAGTGTAGTTAAATCTATTTGATATTTGTCACGAATTCCCCACCCACCACCACCACTTCCCACCAATGAACTACTCGGGATCCGTGTAAGCTTTTTGCTTGGGTTGTTTACCACCACCACCATCAACAACAACAACAGCAGCATAAACAACTTCTGTCCCGACCACTGAATGGGGGGGGGGGCAGTCTCTGCGTGGCCACGTGATGCGGGCAGCAGCACCACCACCAGCATCAGCAGCGTCGTCTGCTCCTGCTGCCGGCTAAGCGCGCATTGTGCTGCCACCTGCCCTGCTGCTGCATCCGGGCCAGTCAGCAGATGCCATCATCATTTAATTCTCTCTCCTCCCACACACACACACTCTTTCTCTCTCTCTATTCATTGTTGTTAGAGGCTGTGTCATTGCTGGCTGTTGTTGTCGCTGAGAGCAGCTGAGAGCAGCAGCAGCGACTCTCCCGTGTTTCGGTGTGGCCGTGGGCTCTCTTCCCACGTATGGCTTGCCTCACTGCTGCGTTCTCCTCCAAGATAGCCAAGGTGTGTGTTGTCTGTGTGTGTGTTTATGCCACTACTACATAGCACACACACACGTGTGGTTTGTATGTCTGCACGTACACGATGTGTTTTTTGTTGTAGATTTTTTTAAGTGTGCTAAAATGAAGGGTCGTTGCCCGAAACGTCGTCTATTTTGTGTGTTGTTTCGCCCATAGGCTAGTGTTATTGAATGACGAATGTGTAGAGTTTGTTGTTATTTGTGCTCATGCACCACTGCTGCCAACAAACAAAACCCTTTATGTTATACGGGTAAGCTTACAATCGACATGTGATCTGATGTAGGTGTGTCTAGTATAATATGTATAGAGTACAGTACTGCAATATACAAACCGGTTATGATTAATTGCCGAGTCTGTGATATTCTGTGTGCTGTGCAATGATTGCGATACACACACATTCTAAACATCGTCTTGTTCACTCTGTACACGGCAATATAGTTACACGTTCAGTATATTTGTGCAACTCGCTATACTCTCTGCCACCATGGAAGTTTGTATCCCTTCGCATTGCTCAAATCAACACAAACCAGGCGTGGTGTGCGTCTCCTGCAATTCACCCAGTAGATACACACACACACTATACACCTTGCAATAGATATATGCAATGATCCATATGTACATTTTGTGTGTGCGCGAAGCGGTGCACCGTGCCCGGTTTTTATCAAACTGCGCAGCATGAAGCACCTTGCGGAAATCTCTCCGAGTGTGCGCGTGTGTGTAGACTGCATGCAGTATACACAATGCAGCGCTTGTGTGTGTGTGTATATCCTGCATAGGTGTGGGAGACAACATTGACCTTCTCTCGCGGCTTTAATCGCTACATTGTTGCAAGCACGGAGGCGAGCTCCGATTGTGTAAAACAAAAACTTGTCACGATCGCTACAGTCCAAGCGTCAGTCTCGACATCATCAGCTGATCCATCCGCCGGTGTCGTGCCCGCAGCGATGTTTTCCCATCGCCTCGTGCAAGCGACAAACTCGACATCCGCACGAATCGTTGGTTGGTTTGTTTGCTTTGCTGCGTGCGAATGTGATTTGCTAAGCTTATGTAAGAATCGTACGCGCACAGAGACGCGTTGGCAACACAAGAGGAGGGACATTGATAGATAGATAGATCGTTTATTGTCATTGTCACCAGTACAACGAAATTAAAAATGCTCACCAGTCAGGGCATCATGCTCACCAGTCGGTACAACGAAATTTAAAATGCTCACCAGTCAGGGCATCATGCTCACCAGTCAGGGCATCATGATGATGATGTTGTTGTTGTGACTGCACTGGTTATAACATCAGCGTCATTTTCAATGGGTGATGCTATCCCCAGAGCTCTGTGTTATCACCACCACCCCCTCGACCGTGCTGTTCGGTAACAAATGTGTCGCCGTCTATAGAGGATGTGTTGCGTGTTCACACTCGCAGCTCGAAGGCTTCTTCTTTCCGAAGAAACTTTACCCAGACCTTACACAGAGCTCTAATTTTATTCGCGGTGATGTGATGATGGGACCTTCATCACGGATCATATTATTGTGTGGAAGTGCGTGGGGATTAAAGGGCCCATCCATTTAGTATGTACGCAACATATATGTCAAAACTTGACCGCCCCCCCCGAATCCTATAGAACGGCCGATATTTAATTCACGCAGAAACGATAAAGGATCAATAATATTGACGTGTTGAAGCAGACAGTCCACCGCCGGGCGATCTAACTTATTTGAAGGCCAATGTAGACACATTATTATCGAGACTTCACTACCCCCACGTGTTTCCTATGCGTACGAAGATTGTCAGTAGACCCCCCCCCCCCATACACACGCATTTAGGTTAACCCCCTTCCATGCGTATGCACTAAACGGATGGCCCCTAATGGGGAGATGGATGGTGGGGGGTGGGTGTGGGGTTAGTTGCTTGGCGTGTGACCGATTTGCGACACGAAATAATCGTGGAAAGATCATCGCGGATTTATTGGAAGAATGGGGATGCGGATAGTAGGGCTTCTTCGCGGGAGTCTGCATATACCACTTCCCATATAGGGTGGAGGTAATAGGGTCGCGGATAAGAGTTCTCAGAATCTAAATGTTGATTTCAGCTCGAGGAATCCGATGAGCTATTAAGCTCTTTTAAAAAAATGAAATTAAAATTAAAAAAAATAAAATAAAAAATCACGACGTTTCGGAGGCAACACAAGTCTCCGTCATCAGGTGGGACCGTCACAGCCGGAGACTTGTGTTGCCTCCGAAACGTCGTGATTTTTTATTTTTTTATTTTTATTAATTTTAATTTCATTTTTTACCTACGTGACTTTACCGAAAGAACTAAGAGTATGAATCCTTGCAGTCACGAAAGCTTCAAATCTAGAATTTTTTTTTTAAATTTACTTCCAGCAGTTTCACAGATGTCTCCATTTAGACAAACGTTACGTTTGAGTTTTTCACTTCTGAATTGTATTCTGTTGCAGCAAAATCCACGTTGTGCTGTACTTCTATGCCCCCCCCTCCCCGATACAAACACGGGCTGACCAGCCGTGGTGAAGTATGGTCAAATATAACCTGCAGCCTTGCTGGACATTCCGTGGCTTCTGCTGTTATTGTCGATGTCAGGCCGTACTGTATCTTGTAATGACAGGCGACAACGGGGACGCGACGTCAGGATTGAGGTTTTGATCGAGGGCCCTTTATTAAATGAAGGTGCGAGATACGAATCGATGCGTTTTCTTGTGCGTCGGTCAATATTATCCTTTATTTGAAATTAATCACCCACCCAACAAATATTCATGTAAACAAGGCCAGTTGTAGTGATTGGGTGGACGGATAGTGGCAGGAGTAGTTTAAGTTATTAAACCGGCCCCCAAAAAATGTTGTTCCATTTCCCCGAAATATCAAATTTCTGATTAAATTCGGTTATCATTGATATGGCCAACCTTACAAACGGAAGCGATTCCGATTCTGCGCGTCCCACGCGAATCGAATTGCGGCAACAGCGTTGTTCAATGGACTAGAATCGATTCGCGATCGTCGTCAAGAATCGATTCCTGCTGACTGCTAGTAACCTCCCCGTGTGACCGATAGTAACCCCCAGCCGCGTATCGCAAAACCCATTTGACATTTTGGTATAGCAACAAAAGCGCGCAAGCTCCGTACGAAGGACAATTAAACAACACCTCACGGAGTAAATCCTCAGTGTTCACTTATTAACACGTTGAAAAAAAACCTGCAATGCAGAAGTAATAGATTAATAACACAAATTGCTCGTTCGGTAAAACTGTATGCCGATATCGCAGTGATAGTGTGCGCATTTATTGTGAAGCCGTAACCAATTATATGGATAGTCATCGGTTATGTACTCTTATCAGGATGATGTGTACATTTTCACGAGGTAATTGTGGATTACAGTGACAATGCAGCGCCTTAAATATGCAGAACAATACATTGAGATCGATGCTTGCATACGGGACGATAATATAATTGCCCTTCTTCTTGGTTCTTTAGGTAAAGTAACGTAGAATGGAAATAATAAAATAAAATAAAATATTTTTATTATTTCCATTCTACGTGACTTTACCGAAAGAACCAAGAAGATGAATCCCTGCAGTCACGAAAGCTTTAAATCGAAATATAATTGCCCTTGTTCTGGAATTATATTGGAAAGAAAGTGGCCATCGTTTTGATCATCATTACTGGCTGATTGTTTGTGTATTGCAACGACACGTTTGACTCTGACGGTACCGCAGTGCAATGCTGCGCTTCCTGTATTGAGAGCTATTAAAGCCTCACATTCCTCAGTGGAATTATGACAGTTCATTGATGGTCATCAGTTATTGATGGCCTCATAAATAATACAGCAACGCATTGCTGTTCAGTATTTGTCTAACATATGGTGAAATCCGTGTGGTTTAATCCACATATAGGTGCACTGCCAAGTCCCAATGTAATACTGTACAGTACCACGTTTCGGCACTGTGCCCGTATTGCATTGATATCGTCAATACTTTACATCATTATACACATTTTTTTTCAATAACATCTCAGAATTGCGGTGTTGTTCATTTATCGCGAAACCGGTGCTGCTGTAACCGTGGTCGGGGCGTGAATGGAGGAAACGTAGCCCGCATGTACACATCGTTCTTCCACGTTTGATTAAATGCCCCTTGGAAACATTTCCCTGGCCAGTGCGCAATCATCCACGTCAGTGTCCTTCACTCGTTTCCAGAGGAGAGGCCACGCTTTCGCTGATAAGACATCGTCGGTGTGAGGGCCACCACACGTTTGAAACCATTGGGGGGTGTTTAACAGGAACACGATGAACGGGGCAGGGTGTTTTCATATTTGTGTGTTGTCGGGGGCCGCACAAAAGGCCACCCAGGACCCCCCAGTGACCAGCGGGCCTTGCAATGAACAACACCGCTCTGCAGTCTACTACAGCAGTGCTTCTCAACCGGTGTGTTTTCAGAATCGCAAGTTGCTGGGAACAAACTCCCTCCGTGCCGTTCAGTGGCCGATCCACCCACCACCTCCCCACTCTGAAGCCCTCTCCACATTGGCCGTGCGAGCGCGCAGTACGGCGGGTGGTAGATGGTCGTCGGCCCTCGTCATAGGGCCCCCCTCGTCCTAGAGCCCCCCTCAACCTCCCCCGTGGTCGCACAAGCGAAGTCGGGCAAAACTGTAATGTGCAGTCAAAAACGGGCAAAGAAGCACCGCTCACACCGGATTTGACATGGGAGCTGTTTGGGGTAAGGATACACTGCGATATTGAAACGTTCCCCCCCAAAGAGAAAATTCGGCAACGTCGTACGATATGAGGTCAATGATAGTCGTATCTTTCGATTTAAAGCTTTGGTGACTGCAGGGATTCATCTTCTTGGTTCTTTCGGTAAAGTCACGTAGAATGTCTGTGTTGCTGAAATATCGTCGAATCGTTGATGGGCATTGCTCGTTTTGTTGTTAACATTTGATTTGATTTCCTGACAAAATGTCTATGGATCAACAAT